TCAGAGAGAGATTGTTCTGTGTAGTAATGGAAGTGTGTATTGGAAGGTAGGGCAGGGCCAGAGTATAGAGTGTGTGGAAAAACTAACAGGAAATTTGCCTATTCAGTTGTTTATACAGAACACTTAGAGATTTTTGAATGGTGGTGACAGGTGTGGGAAGTACTTCAGTAAGAAAAAGCTGGAAGGATGGAATAATTGGTAGCAGGTAATGAAGTTTTGTAGCAGAGAAGGATGAATAAGGCTGAAGCGCTAATCTGAGAGAGAAGGAGCCCTGGTGTCCTAGGATGATTTCTTGGAATTGGGCCCTAACTCTGCCACTTACTAGCTCTGTGACTTCCATTACTGTAAATCCTGTAACCTCTGTGGGTCTCAGTTTCCTCATCTGAAAAAGTAGGAGATTAGAATAGAGGACCCATAGGGTCCTCCCATCTCTACAATTTTAAGTCACCAGGTCCAGGACTTGAGCCACAGTCAACTACATGAGAGTCCAGTATCGTAACCATTACACCATCTACTGGTCCCACATTCAGTGTGTTATTAAATTGTTCTGTACAGACATTTAAACCATGGGATGGCTGATTATCAAGTCTCAGTTGTGTAGTATGGGCAGTAAATGCAAAAAGAATGAAGGGAGGGACCAGCAGACGGCATAATGGGTACATTACTGGACTCACTTATTTGACTGTGGTTCAAGTCTTGGACCCTGCAGCTTAAAAACCACGCTGGGCACATGTGTGTGCATGTCCAAGATCCCAAGAAGAGGATAGAGGAGAAGGGATTACAGTGTGGCCATCCCCCCAGAGGGTGGTTTCTTGCTTTCTGTCTCTGGCAAGTGCAAGTGTCCTATAGCAAAATCTCTCTCTCTAAAAAAGAAAGAAAGAAAGAAAGAAGGGAGAGGTCAAGGGGAAGTATTTTGAGGACAGTCTTATCACAAGGGATAAGACTTGCCTTGCATCTTAAAGGAGAAGGTCATAATAAATCGAGTGGAAGATGGTCGAGAGAACAGAGTTTGATAAAGCATGCCGGGGGACCAGCAGTTAGCGTAATGGCTGTGTTGTTGGACTCCCATGTAGTCGTCTGCTGTTCGAGTCCTGGACCTGGTGGCTTAAACTCACGCTGGTATGTGTGCATGTGTGCCCAAGATCCCGAGAGGAGAATGGAGGACAAGGGATTGCAGCATGGCCATCCCTCCTGGGGGGTGATTTCACACTTTCTGTCTCTCTATCTTTCCGGCAAGCACACGCGAAAAACCTCTATAGCAAAAACCTCTCAAAAAAGAAAAAAAAAAAAAACAACAAAAAACCTGTAGGAACCAGCAGATGGCTTAATTGCTGGACTCCCACATGGTCGACCACAATTTGAGTCCTGGACCCAGCAGCTTAAAACTCATGCTGGACACGCGTGTATGTGTGTGCTCCAAGTCTCTAGAGGAGAATGGAAGAGAAGGGTTTGCAGCATGACCATTCTCCCTGGAGGGTGAATTCTTGCTTTCTGTCTCTCTGTTTCTCTGTCACTCTGGCAAGCGCACATACCCTATAGCAAAAAATCTCTCTCTTAAAAGAAAAGGGAAATGCAAAAGCAGTTAGCTGTAGGCATGGCACAGTGCCTACAGTCAGTGATGACAGCAGTGAGATTCAGAGAGAGATTGTTCTGTGTAGTAATGGAAGTGTGTATTGGAAGGTAGGGCAGGGCCAGAGTATAGAGTGTGTGGAAAAACTAACAGGAAATTTGCCTATTCAGTTGTTTATACAGAACACTTAGAGATTTTTGAATGGTGGTGACAGGTGTGGGAAGTACTTCAGTAAGAAAAAGCTGGAAGGATGGAATAATTGGTAGCAGGTAATGAAGTTTTGTAGCAGAGAAGGATGAATAAGGCTGAAGCGCTAATCTGAGAGAGAAGGAGCCCTGGTGTCCTAGGATGATTTCTTGGAATTGGGCCCTAACTCTGCCACTTACTAGCTCTGTGACTTCCATTACTGTAAATCCTGTAACCTCTGTGGGTCTCAGTTTCCTCATCTGAAAAAGTAGGAGATTAGAATAGAGGACCCATAGGGTCCTCCCATCTCTACAATTCTGTGACACTCTTCATGTAATTATGATGAAATAATGGACAAAACTGGATGATTCTTGGGTTTGGAGGTTAAGCAGAGCAGTCAAGGTGACTTCAGACTTTGCGACTGAGAGAAAAGATGCTGCCCTTAGTAGAAATGGAGAAATATCAAAGAAGAGTAAGTTTAAGGGTTCTACGCTGACTTTAAAATGAAAGAGAAAACCCAGGAGGTAGAGGTGGAGTGTGTTCCTGCTATTCTTAGTTAGACGTGCCTAGGGATTCTGTAGTTTTGTCGATGACTGCTTTCATTAGTTTTTTATTGATGTCAAAAACAGAGCAAAATTGGCCAGCCTTCTCCCACCTCTTTGGTATTTTGTTAAATACCTTTTGTAAATACGTATCTATTTGCCAGACTCATTTTTAGTACAGGTTGTTTAATAATGTGTTTCCTGCCCATTTAAATAAACTGGGTGATGCTTATTAGTTACATTTAAATGACCTAGAATTTAAAACTTTTCTTTTTTTTAGATTTTTGCCATAAAGTGTACTCTCTCACCAGAGAGAGAAAGGAGGGAGAGGAAAAGTGATAAATCAGTTCCCAAGGGGATGCCCATGTTTCAATCCCATCTCCTCCATTCTTCTCTCAGGATTCTGTGCACATGTGCATACGCTGCGTGTTTTTCAAGCCATGGGGTCCAGTACTCGAACACCTTAAACGTAATATCACCCGTTGGCTCCCAGGAAATTTATTTCAGTAGTTTTAATAATCCCTCTTGGAGACACTATGCTGACTAAGTAAGCCAGGCACAGAAAGGCAAGCACTGCATAATCTCATTTATATGTGAATCTGGAAAAGTGGAGATTATAAAAGCAGAGAGCAGAATGGCAGTTGCTAGGTGTGAGGGAATGAGGATATGTTGGCCAAAGGATGCAGTTTCAGTTAGACGGGTGAGACTGGGGGTGGAGATGCATTGTACAGCATGGTGACTGGAGCTACTGTATACTTGAAAATTGCAAGAGAGGGACCAGCAGTTGGCATAATGGCTATGTCGCTGGACTCCCATGTAGTCGACTGCGGTTTGTGTCCTGGACCCGGTGGCTTAAAACTCATGCTGGGCGTTGGGGACCAGCAGTTAGTGTAATGGCTATATCGCTGGACTCCCATGTAGTCAACCGCGGTTCAAGTCCCGGACCCAGTGGCTTAAACTCACGCCGGGCGCATGTGTGTGCATGCCCAAGATTCCGAGAGGAGAATGGAGGAGAAGGGACTGTGGCGTGGCCATCCCCACTGGAGAGGTGATTTCTCAATTTCTGTCTCTCTGTCTCTCTCTGTCTTTCTGGTGAGTGCACATGCCCTATAGCAAAAACCTCTCCAAAAAAAAAAAAAAAGAAAGAAAAAAAATTGCAAGAGAGTAGATCCTAAATGTTCTCATCACAAAGTGAGTTGATGGGTGTGTTAATAGCTTGACTGTGGTAATCACTTCACAATATGTACATATATCAAAACATTATATTGTATAATATCAATGTATACAATTATTTGTCCATTGTACCTCAAAAAAGGGAGGGAAAAAAATCACAATCAATAATACAATTCTGTGCTGGCCTGTAGCCTGTACATTGAGAGCAGGCTCTCATATGTGGCTAACTGTGGTTTGAATCCTGGCTCTGACAGCTTGAGAAAACGCTGGGCATGGGGCCAGCAGGCGACATAGTCAGTAAGGCACTGGATTCCCACATGGTCGACCACAGTTTGAGTTCTGGATTCAGTGACTTAAAACTCACACTGGGCACATGTGCATGTCTGCTCAAAAATCCTGAGGGGAGAAGGGATTGCAGTGTCACCCCCTGGGGGGGGGTGACTTCTCACTTTCTGTCTCTTTGGAGAGTACATGTGCCCTTTAGCAAAAATCTCTCAAAAGAAATTCCCAGAAAACACTGGGCACATGTGTGTACCCAAGATCCTGATAGGATGGAGAAATAGAAGAAAAATGTTTGTGACATGACCATTCACATACCCTCTGGCAATAAAAAAAAAAAGAAAGTAATATAGTTCTTATAAAATATAATTATGGAGTAAAATTAGCAATGACTTAAAAACAGCAACAGTCTCTCCTGGGTTGTCTGCCTTTGGGAGTAATACTTGGTATTCAAATTCTTTTTTTTTTTTTTGGAGAGATTTTCGCTATAGGGCGCATGCACTCGCCAGACAGACAGAGAGAGACATAGAGACAGAAAGCGAGAAATCACCCTCCAGGGGGGATGGTCATGCTGCAATCCCTTCTCCTCCATTCTCCTCTTGGGACCTTGGGCATTCACGCACACGCGCCCGGCGTGAGTTTTAAGCCATCGGGTCCGGGATGAGAACTGTGGTCGACTACATGGGAGTCCAGCGACATAGCCATTACACTAACTGCTGGTTCCTGGTATTTGATTTCTTAGAGCTTTTTCTGCATACTTTAGATGTGTGCTTCTTGATTATATATTTTTATATTTGTGCCCATGCCTTTTTCATGCATGTAAGTCTTATTTTTTGAAATAACATCTCTGCCTTCAAGGAATGAACATATTTCTTTAGTCTTTAGTGACCTGAGTTTTAATAAATTTTGTTACCATAATGACCTTGCTTGATAGATGGTTTAATTTTTTAAGTTACTTTATTTAACTTTATTTACTTTTTTTTAAATTTGATCAGAGAGGGACAGAGCAAGAGCAAGAGCAAGAGAGAGGGAAAGCGAGAAAGTAAGCTGCCACATTCAGGAGTCAAACTACGGTCAGCCCGTGGGAATCCAGTGTGCTTAACCACCACGCCACCTGCCAGCCGTACAAAGTGATTTAATTTTAAAAAGAATCATGAAAACTCCCTTTAGCAGATTACCACTTTATGGTATTTCTTGAAATGGTTTACTGTAGCTTACTAAATATATTTTTGTTCCTTTTTTATGTACAGAGCTCAAAGCATGCCTGTTTTTAAAGAAGTAAAGGTACACCTTTTAGAAGATGCAGGAACAGAAAAGGACGCTGTCACTCAGGAGGCCAGAATTTCACCCAGTGGAATTGACTCAGCTACCACTGTGGCTGCAGCTACTGCTGCTGCCATCGCCACAGCAGCTCCACTCATAAAAGTATTTTATTATCTTCATATATTCATATCTACTTTGTGAAATATAAATTTATTAAAAACTGATTTTTGTAAATGGTTGTGTTCAACTGTGAACAATGGGTGTTCTGTTCCTCTCAGTTTGAAAGACTGGTCCTATTTGTGGTTGTGCATTATGTCTCAGGAGTGGTGAAAATTACCCCACGTCGCTGTGACGGCACTAGTGAATCCAGGACTTGCCCAGCTGTAGCACCTGAAGTCCCACATCCTGAGAAACCACCTGGTCCTGGGCAACCCAGATATCTTTATTTGAGAGCTGGAGGGAACTTTAGAAGTTGTTTGTGCTTAGACTGTCAGCTGGAAATTGGAGAAGCAGAGAAACAGGTCAGAGTAGGCACAAGATTCTAGAGCGACAGGTGTCGGAGCCCCGACGAGAACACAAGGCTGCCGATGTAAACCAGCCTTACCTTAGTGAGGTATCAAGAGCCGCTTTGTTTTGCTTTCCTTCTTTTTAGTTTTCATTTACGTATCTTATTTCTGGCATTATAAAATTCTCTGTGGACTCAGGTGTGGTGATGCACGTGGGAAGGTTGCCAGTGAGCTGTGGCTTAGGCCACAGAGGTCGGGGTTCAGTTCCTGGCCCAACTTACACTTGTGGAGCTAGCTAACTGGGAGACTGGGCAGGATAGTAGCATGTAACCCTATCAACTGTTTTTCTCCCTTTCTGTTTCTTTCCCTCCCTGACTTTTTCTCTTGCTTTCCCCCTCTTGCTAGCTCTGTCTTAAACAAAATTCTGTGTGGCAAATTTGATATAATCTTTTTTATGAGAGGATGCATTTACCTAAAGATAGCTATTTCCTGCCTTTTAGTTTGTGACTTTGAGAATAAAAGTATTAAATCAGTTTGATTAAAGCCTCTAATTGATCATTTCTTAATAACAATTGCTTTGAATAATCATTCTAGTGATTTTCTGGTATCATTCCATAACTTGAAATGTATTTTGTTACTTTTATTGTCTTAGGTGCAGAGTGATTTGGAAGCGAAAGTCAATTCTGTTGCAGAATTACTTAATAAGTTACAGGAGACCGATAAACACTTACAACGAGTTACAGAGCAGCAAACAAGCATTCAGAATAAGCATGAGAAACTACATTGTCATGATCATGAAAAACAAATGAATGTGTTTATGGAGCAGCATATTAGGCATCTTGAAAAATTACAGCAACAACAAATAGATATTCAGGTATCTGTAATAAAACTCATTTTGTGATCTTAATCACTTGAACCTCTAAGCTCATATTCTTTGATAATCACAATTAGTATTCATTGACAATTACAATTACTCATTAGATTGTAAGTTTTAGTTCTTTTTAAAAATTATTTAATTTTATTTATTATTATTATTTTTAATTTGACCTGAAAGCAAGAGAAAGAGAAAGTGCGAAAACAAACTGTAAGGTCCAGGAGTTGAACTATGGTTGGCCATGTGGGAGTCTAGCGCCTTAACCACCACCCCACCTGCCAGCCCCTTAAGTTTTAGTTTTTAAATCATGGTTTTGCTTGTTCTTCATTTTTACCCTCTATGTGGAGAACTTTGCATCTTCTAGTGCAAATGCTACTAGTTCTGTGCAGTCTTCACTATGGATGGCTTTTCTGGTTTTTTTGTAGTTATTTTTGTTCATGCCATCTTTTTTTTTTTTTTTCTTTTCTTTTTTTAAATTTGCTTCAAGGCATATGTGCTCACTGAAAAGAGAGAGAGAAAGAGAGAGCAGGAAAGTGAGAAATCACCAACAGGGGATGGCCACCTTGCAATCCCTTCTCCTCCATTCTTTTCCTAGGAGAAGGTTCTGGCCATGTACCACACATGCGCTGTGTGTCCTTCAAGCTGTTGGATCTGGGACTCAAACTGAGCAGCCAACCATGTGGGACCCAGGTGCATCAACCACCATGCTACCAGTCAGCCCTGGTCATGTCATTTTTAAAACACTTAGATCATGTCGCTATTGTTTACATCAGTGGTTCTTAGCCTAGGGATGTGTGTGAGAATTACATGGACAGCTTTGTAAAAGCATGCATATGGGCCCCTCAGCGGTTTTGAGACAGTAGGCCTGGGAATCGGAACGATCTCTAATGATTCTGATTGACTCCTTGGATGAGAACACCTAGTTTACATGTTTGTTTTGCATTTAATTCATTAGAAGAATAAACTTCTTTTTCTGTTTCTTTTGAGTGTGAGGCTATTCTAAAAAGAATTATCTTCACAAGGAGCTAACAGCATAGTTTTTTGTTTTGGAATTTCTAGCTCCTTGAACACTACCTATACTTTTTTTCTTCTTCTTCTTCTTTTAAAGAAGTGATGAGCATCATAAATGAAATGGTTTTAATTTGCTTCTTTTTTGATAATTTACAATTTTTGTTTGTTTGTTTTTAGTTTTTTGCTATAAAGTGTATGCACTTACTGGACAGGGACAGAGAGAAGAGTGAGAAATCACCCCCCCCCAGGGGTAATGGCCATGCTGTAATTCCTTCTTTTCCATACTTCTTTCAGGATTTGGGGCCCAGACGTGTGATTTTCAGTCTGCCAGGTTCTGGACTTGAGCTGCAGTTGGCCATGTGGTATCAAGTACCTTAGTAACTATGTCACCTGTTGGCCCTCTAATGTGTAAATTTAAAATTTTTATTTAATTTTTGTAATTTACAATTTTTAAACTTTGAAAAATTATATTAAAACATAACATTCAGGGGTTAGCAGGTGATGTGATGATTAAGGCGCTAGGTTCCACATGACTGACTCTGCAGTTCAAGTCGTATACCTGGTGGGTTGAAAAACATGCTGGGTACATGTATGTGCATGCCTGAAATCTCAAGAGGAGAATGGAAGACAAAGGGATTGTAGTGTGGTCATCCCCTCTGGGGGATCCTCTCTCTGTCTCTCTCTGGGGAGTACATGTGCCATATAGCGAAAACCTAAAAAATAAAAGCAAACTCATAGCATTCACAAGAGTGTACAAAAGTAAGGTCATCATCATTGACAGTGTGCTGTCATTTTCAAGACCTTTTACTAGGCCTTGTCTTGAGCTTTTCAGGTGACTGAATAGTATTTTTATGGAATGATTATACAAAGTAGAGTTTTATCAGCTTTACTGGTTTTAGACTTTATATGTGTGACAGGAATTGAGGGTGCCATTTAGTGGGAGGCCAGAGCCAAATCTATGAGTGCTGGTGCCCAACCTGTAAATGACTTGACTTCTTCGAGTTGTGATTTCTTTACCTAGAACATTTTGTTGTTATTCTGGATAAAATGAAATGACACATTTTGAAAGCACATTCGTTTCATAAGGAGAGGATCCTTCTTAATCCGAGTGTCTGCCTGCCATCTATCCATCCATTCATCCATCCTTCTACACTAACTGCATAACCTACTAACTTTCCAGTTTTGAGAGAGTCAGATCTTTGCTATTTTCAGAGAAAGCTGAAGCATTTGTAACATATGAGGTATATAAATCTTTATAGGCTTTTCTTTGCGTGGCACAAAACTCTTCTGAAATTGCTTTTATTAAGATACTTATACATTCCAGATAGTAAATAGTACTAAAAACTCCGTTGTCATAATTTCCATTTATATGTAAATGCATGTATTATTACTGCTACTAAATGTGTCTACTATTCATTAGAATGCTTACTGTCTTTGATTTTTATAATTTTACTTCAAATGAAATCTTACCTTCGAAGCCATAAAGGATGATATCTGTTGGGTTTAAATTCCCTGGTTGACATAGAGGTTTAAGGCAAGAGCCTTTCCTTTTTGGTTCTCCTAGCCTGCTGTGGTGGCCACTAAGCCATCAATAAAGTAGAAGGGAAGACATTGAAGTTTATTGGGTCAGTGGAAAAGTCATGACGTATTTTTCTGTTTTTCCATGCAAAAATGTGTCATGACTGTCCCTACGACCCATTAGGAAATCATTAATCATTAAGGAAAATGATTAAAGTCACACAGAAGAGTCAGTCTTAACCCAAGTCTTTGATACGCGAAAGAGAGAGTGAGAGAAAGAAAACACCCCTCCCCAACTCCACCCCAGAGGAATGGCCATGACACAGTCCCTTCTCTTCTAGGATTGGGCATGCAGTCCTATGGGCCTTGTGTGTCTTTTAAGCTGTTCAGTCCAGGACTCAGTCTGTGCTGTTGAACTTGCAGGATCCAGCCACCTGAACTACCACGCCACTGGCTGGTCCCTATTTTCTTTGTTTATTAAATGTAATACAATTTTTTCAGGTTCTCTAATAAATTTCAATATATTTTACCATCTAATTTTTTCAAATGATATTTGACATTAATAAAAAAATTTTATGTCTTTTAGACTCATTTTATTAGTGCTGCACTCAAGACTAGCAGTTTTCAGCCTGCTCGTGAGCCCTCTTTAAGAGCAGTGGAAAAGTATTCTGTAAAACCAGAGCATCCTAATCTTGGTAACAGTAATCTGTCTTCACATAACACATTCGCCTCCAAACAAGGTACAATATGTAGTCCCTCTATAAATAGAAAATGCCAGCTATGAATTTGTTGTTGTTGTTCTGTATGAGTTGAAAATTAATTTACTAAGTGGTAGGAGTGTTTGTTTTATAGAATTTATTTGTAAGGGATTTTGTTTCATAAAATTTGTTCATCTTTAAAGAATTATTTAATTTTATTTATTATTACTTACATTTGCTATAGGGCCTGTGCACTCATCTGAGAGAGAGAGAGAAAGGGAGAAAGTAAGCCTCCTGGTCTGAGACTTGAACTGTAGTCGGCCATGTGGGAGTCTACCCGTTAACGACCACGCCTCCTGCTGGCTCTACCCTGCCTTTTTTTTTTTTTTTGAAAGATTGTTCATTGTTCATTGCTATGAGACATGTGTGCTCACTGGAGAGACAGAGAGAGATGGAGATAGAGAAAGTAAGAAATCATTCCCTAGTGGAGCTGGACATGCTGCAGTCCCTTCTCCTCCATTGTGCTCTCTGGATTTCAGGCATGTGTGTACACATGCCACACTGTCATGAGTATCAAGCCACCGGGTCAGGACCTTAAACCTGTAGTTAGCCGTGTGAGAGTACAGCACCTTAATCACTATGTCACCTGCTGGCCTCAAAATTAGTTGTTTTTTTTAAGTTAAGTAAGTTTTAGATTATTTTGAAATGTGTTCAAATTATGAATCATGTCCCAATTCTTGGTTTAATTAATAATCTTCATAAATTTTCAGTAGTACTTTTAAGTTTAGAAAAACATTACTTCTCTAGTATCACATGTACTTGTAATAGATCAATTCTTCATTTCTCTGACAAACTGAGTATTTACATTTTTCTTGATTCTGTCAGGAGAGTACAATCCTAAACTATTTCCAAATATTTTCAATTAGTAATTCAGTTCTGCTTATCTTAATAGAATTTTAAAATTCTTTATGCTAACCTATAATATATAGGTTATTTGTTAAATTTTTGGAATTTAAAGTAAGTAAATGTGTTTCCAAATTATTGATATTTGAATAATGAACTAAAGAAAATAAAGGGAATAGACTTTTAATGATACACAGATCCATGTAGTACAGTAGTTCCAGAATTTCATTTGTTAGAACATTGTTGGTGTACAGTATTAAAGATCCCTTATATTTGTAAGAGGCTTTACAGTTTGCAACAGCTGAGTGGTCCTTACAAAACTATTGTGAGGCAATATGAGTCAGTTTGTAAGCTGCGAAGAGAAAAATGAAGCACAGAAAATGTGTAACTTGCCTGCTCAGGGATACCTGGGCTGAGAGGGAGGATGCCAGAACTAGAGCCGGAGCTCATGTTTCACCGTGAGCCAGCCGCGTGCCTTCTATGGAAGAGGATATTTTTTTTTCTTACTTTATTCTGCAGAATTTACTACTTATAATTTTACTTATATTTTTAAATTAATTAATTTTTAAAAGGAATTATTTAATTGTATTTATTATTATTATTGTTATTTTAAAAATTTGCTACAGGGCACATGCACACACCAGAGAAAGGCAGACAGAGAGAGACAGAGAAAATGAGAAAGCAAGCTGCCAAGTCAGGGACTTGTACCGTGGATGGCCATGTGGGAGTCCAGCGCCTTAACCACCATGCCCCCTGCTGGCCTCTAATCTATGCTTTTTTAATGAGAGAGGGAGAGAGTTATTTTTAGCAAGGTATTGCCACCATCCTCCTACCCCAGCCTTCCAGTTAGCTGGAAACAACCTTTCTAGGTAAAGGTGAAAATGAACCTGTACCTGCCAGATAACCTCAGTCTCTGAGTAGTGACATCGTAGCAGTGTGTCTCACTTTGGCTGATATATATAATTATTTAATTAATTAATTGCCAGAGAGTACATGTGTTCTCCAGAGGGAAAAGGGAGAAGGTGCGTTTCCCAGTGGGACATGGTCATGCTGCAGTCCCTTCTCTTCTATTTTTCCATATTCTCAGAATCTGGGGCACACATATACTCTTGGTGTGTTTTTCAAGCAGCCAGGGCTGGGATTTGTACTGAGGTTGCCCATGTAGGATCTGTCTCTTTTAACCAGTAGGTTATAGAGCCACTGCTTAATTTTGTTTCTTTACATTTGGGTTTTAAATGTGAAAGAGTTTTATCAATTGTATACTGAATTTGTTTCTTTTTGTTCAAAGTTACAATGACAACAAAAAATATAAATTAAAAATTCAACAAAGGAGGCCAGCACATGGAGTAATGCTTACATCACTGGACTCCCATGTAGTTGACTGCAGTTCAAGTCCTGGACTTGGCAGCTTAAAACTCATGCTGGGTGTGTGTGGGTGCATGCTTCAAATCCCTAGAGGACAATGGAATAGGAGGGATTGGGGTATTGCCATCCCCCCTGGGGAATGATTTCTCACTTTCTTTCTCTCTGTCTTTCTGGCAAGTGCATGTGCCTTAAAGCAAAAATCTCTCTTAAAAAAAATTAACCAGAAAAGCATATTTTTCTGTAAGCATTTATCATTTTTATGTAGTTGTAATTATAGCATAAACATAATTTTATACTGCTTTCTTGCTACCATATAAAAATATTGCTAATGTTTTATGTAATTATCTTTATAATCTCAGTGTGTTTTCTTTGGTTCAGAGATTTTTGCTGAAAGGTGTGTGCACTCACTGGAGAGACAGAGAGGGATAGAGAGACAGAAAGTGAGAAATCACCCCCCCGGGAGGATGGCCACACCACAATCCCTTTTCCAGTCTCCTCTCAGGACGTTAGATATACCCAGCATATTTTAAGCCTCTGGGTCCAGGACTTGAACCGCAGTCAACTACTTGGGAGTCCAGCAATGTAATCATTACGCCAGCTGCTGGTCCCATAATTTTAGTTTTTGATAATTACAGGTCTCAGTGTAACTATTTTGCAGTTTATTTGACCATTTTCCTACTATTGGGCACTTAGTTGGGTTTTAAGTCTTTTTCCTTTATAAATAATACTGTTGAAAGATGTAAACACATATGTAGCATTTTCTTTCTCTTATGTTTATTTTTAGAATAAATTCCCAGAAGCGAGATTATTGGGTCAAAGTATCTAAGAATTTTAAGACTTCCTATACTTACTGACAAGAGGTTTATCAGTTTTCATTGCTGCAAGCAGTGTGTGGTTATGCCATTTTCATTATAGCTTTAATAATATTAAATATTATATTGATTCTTTTTTATTTTTTTAGAGAATTTTTTTTTGCCGTAGGGCTCATGCACTCACCAGAGAGAAAGAAAGCGAGAAACCAGCCCCCAGGGGGAGTGACCACACTGCAAATCCACCATTTTCCTCTTAGGATTTTAGGCACACATGTGTACACAACTGGCGTGTGTTTTAAGTCTTTGGGTCCTGGACTTGAACTGCAGTTGACCATGTGGGAATCCAGTGACATAACCATTACGCCATCTGCTGGTCAATATTATATTGATTCTTACTTACTAGTTATATGTTTAAAATATTTGTAGTCTTCATTTATCTTTCAAATTTTAGTGAGGATAAATATTTCTATATACGTGTTCATTTATGTGTTGTATATAATTTTGTTTTTTAAAGTATGGAGAAGAGTAATACCCTATAATGAAACTTTTTAAAAAATAAGTTTAATTTATTTATTTTATTTCCTATTAAAGTACCTTTA